CAGAGGGGGAGGAGGGATGGAGGTGGAGTGTCCACTGTGCCATGAAGAAGAACAGTGGTTTCCCTCAGAAGGAGAATGCAGGGAGAGGACTGCTGATTTCTCTGGAGGAGAGGGTTACTATGTGTGTGTTGTTCCCAACAGCTGCTAACAGAAGAGTCCACAGGCTCTCGGAGTTTAGTTTGCTGTACACACAGACACAAGTTAATCATGCAAACACATGCCTCATGTGGAAATTGACCACATACTCTGCATTGGTGCGCTGGACAGAAATGGCAAAGGGTTCAAAGGGATGGAAGGTGAAGGCAACAAGGCGTCGCACAGCGTGATTCACTGGCCGTCCCAGCAGGCCAGCCTGGATCTTAAACTTCAGCAAGCCAGAGTCACGTGCATAAAATCTGATGGATGAGAGATGAGCAGTCAGTAGTTGCATTAAACTCTGTACAGTCTTGTCAGTTGGTTTGGATTGTCTTGTCCGCTTTGTGACAGAAACCCATGTCGCTACTCTTTCATCCTGTTTGAGGAGCTAGTAGCTGCTGTTGATATAAGACTGTGGATGTTTGAGATATCTGCACTTTACCTATTTATCATCTGCACTGTTGATTAATCTTTCACTCAGTTCTTTAGCAACTGGTCAGCCTCTAAACAATTAACTTGGGTGGGTGGCTGGGATGAGGCATTAAAAACATTATGCTAACTTTATCTTAACTCAATCTACAATCTCAACTTTACACAGCCCCCCCCCGGGTCATCTACCTTTGCAAAGCAGTTTAAAAAAAAAAAACAACCAATCCTTACTTTAAGAACCAGCCAGCCAGAGTGAGAATGAGGAATGAACATTATGCATAATGTTAATGTTTCAATTATTCCCGCTTAATATTTTTTCTGTAGGCTGGTGAAGGCAAAGGGAGCGAATCCAACAGTGTGACTGGTCCAACTCTTCTTCTCCTTTTGCTTTTTAGCAGGTCAGATCGTACACATAGGAAGAACTCTGTAATACACTGATGTTGTGTCTATGATCTAACGTGACATAGACCTACTTTAGGTACTGCATAACTGGTCAAACTCAAAAGGCATGACTAGCGTTTAGTGTACTTATACAAAATGCGTATCTGCTACTCAAAATGAATACAGGTTGGCAGGACTGCAAATTGTCACACCAGTTTCACGTCATACGATCCCATGATAAGAGGTGGCCATATGTGGGCACTTGAAATTATTAGTTGACTGATCAAATAGTCGACTGAGTGAAAGTAGGCGGCCAACAATTTTGAAAGCTGATTAAACTGGCAACAAATAGGCAACATTTTCTGGTCTTCATTTGTACTGTTAGCATCAGAGCATACAGTATGAGTGCAGTGGAGAGGTGAGAATTTCCGCTCCTTGCTTACAGACCTGTTCGCCTGCTCTGCTCCCCCATTCAAAGCCACACCAGGCTGCTCCCCTCATTATCGCTCAGTGCTCAGCTCAGATTGCATCCCGCTGTACTCAAATCACCCCACTCACTCCAAAAAAGGTGGAATAAAATCTGAATGTATTTCACTTTTAGCTTAAACCATAGCCTTAAATCCAAAGAGCTAAAGAACAACTACTTTGTTTGAAACAGAAATATTGCAAATTACAGTTAGGCCTATGTATCTAGAAATACAACACAGAAGGTCATATGTAAAATTCAACAAATCAGTGGGTCTAATTAAATAAAAATATACAGTAGACCTGTGTGACCTAATTCAATTTCCTTTAGCAACTCCATTATTGAGCTCGCAATGGATGATTTTGATGCATTCTGGGTCAGGCTTGGGCATGCTTCAGGCTCATGGTGTAACACCACCGAGATGAAATTGGAGTGGGACATAGGACACTCTGTCCAAAATCCTTGCGCTCCGCTCACATGCTCTGGTTAGCATTATTTATAATGTGATTCTGTTACATAATTTGCTAGGCTTAAGATGCTCATTCACCCTAATGGAGTCTGTACCTGATGGGGTGGTCTCCACAGGTCTTGGGCCTCTCCATCACTGACACCCACTTGTCATCGTAGCTGAAGAGGGACAGGTCGAGGTAAGGGCTGCTGCTGTAAGACTGGGCACTGATAGGCAGCTGACCCAGCAGCCGGCGCACTGCCTCGGTGTGGCCGCCGTATTTGGCATTCACAATGGTGTCTTTGAATCTAAAGGCATGGACAAATGAGTGGACATCAGCAAAATAACATCCAGCAGCAGCAGTCTACTAGAGGTACTGAGGTCGATGCAAAACTCAAACTGCCACAGCCATTTCTGTGATCCTAAAATATTACTCCTCTGAAAGGGTTAAACAGCCTTGTTTCCATGGTAACAAGACCTCCATTTGAGTCAACAGCTATCTAAAAACAGCTGGAAATACATGTTTATTCAAAGTAACTTTGAGACATTCCTGACCAAATTCCAGCCTCCCAAGTTTCACTACTACACATTTCCAGTACTTAGCATGGCTCAGTGCTCTCACCTTCCCTTCACTGTTCTCTTTCCTTTTGAGAACTTAAAGCATTACAACCTTCTTTTCCCCTGATGTCCTCTCAAACTGTTTTACCCTACAATATCTCCAGCTTTACAGGCCTTGCCTGTTTGTCTCAGCTTCCCTGCTAGACAGTTGTATGTGGTACAAACCTGGTTTGCTCAATGTGCTTGCCAGCCTCAGTGTCTCCTCAGCTTCTTTCCCACATCAATTTTCACCACTCTAAAATCCAATTTTAAGCCTTTTTCCTCACTTGAACTATTGTTTATCTTCTCCTCCTTCCTCAGCTGCCCTCTCTGTCTGCTCCTCCCTCTTCACCCTCATCTGAGGATTTTGTCACCTACGCTGGTGAGTTCAGCTGCCAAATTCAATAACAGCTCCTCTAGCCACACTGACTGTCTTAATGTTTTGCCTCTATATCCAGATTAAGTCCTAAAATGCCTTCCCTCCTCCTCCAGGCAATCACTGCTTCCGTTCCTAACCACCGTCTACAAATCCTCCCTGACATTTGGCTGCATGACATCGGCTTCACTTTTTCTTATATTTATGAACCAACTTCTGACGTTTGGTTTTCCAGCACAGTAGTTATGATTAAACAAGTATGGATATTTTGGCAGGAAAAGATTTGGTGTTTTTATCCAGTAGTATGCTCCTACAGTTCACATGAAGCCCCATGTCTCTTCTCACAGTACCTTCTCTGGACCTGCCGAGCATAGTTGTTGGAGGAAGCGGAGCAGGGGAACTGGACGGCCTGGCTGTGCAGCGTAGCGTTTCTGAACAGGTCGCAGAAATTCTCAAACAGTTCCAGCAGCTGGTCAGAGGTGTTCTCAAAAACGGCCAGCACCTCTGTAGACACCATGTTGTATACGACAAAGAACGAAGGCTGGCAGAGAAACAAAGGGGGGTAGGGGAGAAAATGCAGTATGTTACAATAACGGGGAGAAAAAAAAATCACATTTTAACTTGTACATATCTCATAAAAATGAGAAAAGTATCTTGTTAAAATGAGAATGGCTTCTCGTTATAAGAAAATATTAAAAAGCATTTAGGAGGGTTGAACGTTGCCTAAATGATTATGGTATGGCCAGCGTGTACGTGTGTACTCATGTACTTGTGCACACAATCCCACCCCTAGCCAAGAATGTTAAGTCATACCTCATTATTATATTATACTTATCTTTTAAATAAAATGTGTCAATTTTTCCCCACAGTATCGAATATCAATATTTTTCAAGGTGTCATATCAAAGTTAGAAATTCCACTATCATGACAACACTATTCTAGTATAGCTAAGCATCTCAGGCTTTGGCTTCCTTCTATGTTTCTAACATACTACAGGTTAAATATAACAAATTTATATATATATATATTCTTTATTGATGAGGTGAAAATTTGTATGGATAACAGAAAGCTAAGATTTCAAATACATAAAATGAACAGGAATCAGATCTGTCTATAGTCACCATGAATGAGAAACAAGTCCTTGGAGACCTGAAGGAGGAATCCCTGTTATACGGCACCAACAACAAAAGACAGCAAGGCAGGGAAAAGTAACAACAACAGTACAGGGAGGAATTCCGGTGTGTTCCTACCTGTGAGGGGTCGGTGACTCTGAGGGTGACCACATCCTCACTGGTGTATTTAATGAAGAGGTGATGCTCATCCAGCAGCTGCATCTTCCACATCCTCAACCTTCTCAGCTGGTCAAAAAAGTGGAAGAATCTGAAGACACAACCAACATATAGTTAATTAATGGATGAAATAAATGCATATCTAACATCAGTAAACTAGGGGAGTGGACTGAATAGGCGGTTTGGATGATTAACAATATATTTTAAGCACACAAAAGAAGTAAAATTAAGTTGTAGTTCATACAAAATATTGTAAATTACTAAAATATTTGTTGATTCAGCCAAAAGGACAGACATTCTCTGGCTATAGCTCCTCAGATGAGAGGGTGATGGAGTAGTTGATAGAATAATAAACTGAACATTTTTGGGTTTGAAACAGGGAATCTGAAGATGTTAACGTAGCTTCTGGGAAATTATAGTGGCTACTGTCACTGTTTCTTGTTGATCTGAACAGTGGGGAAAAAAAAACTGCAGATTAATCAAAATAATGGTTAGTTTCTCTCCAATCAAATATTCAAAATTCCATTTGTAAACCAAATGAAAACTCAATTCAGTTCTAATGTACAGTGCTATCATTCAACCCCTATGATTTTACCGTTTAGTAAATGTAATTCCTCATGGGACTACAAGAATTTTAAGGCAGCCAAAAGAAAAAGACATGACAAATAGTCAACATTTATTTTTTCAAAAACACACTCAGATTAATAGTGACTAATCCAGCTGCCCTGTAGACGAGCACTGATGCACAATGTGTTTTCCCTGCTTTAACATGAACTGAATTAATGAGTCGTCAGAATTTAAAAACTGAACTGCAGTAGAAGTTCTTTTCACATCTGCAGGATTGCTACAGCTCTGCTCTCTTCTCCTGATGAACACAACCAGTCCAGTCCACCTAGCATGAGGATTAGCTGACAGATCCAAAACACTGGGACTTCTCCAGAGTGCTTTGACACCAAAGTTGTTTAAATTTGTTAAACTTAACTCTGGTGCAAACTAAACACAGACTAAACTGAGACTTTTAGTCCAGTTGTAAGCAGACTCTGCTGCGGTTCATTTGGGTGTGAAAGCCAGCATGGTTTTCTGTTTGTCCTGTTTCTACCTGTTCATCATTATTTATAATGATCTTCCCTCGACTGCTTATTTTGATTAATAACACCACCTATTCTTTCTGTGTGACACCACAGAGGATGAATTACCATACAAGACTGCCAGTCAACAGAATCTGATTTCCCCATGAGTCCATGTAGTACTGATGATAGAGCATAATGTTACCAAAACTGTCCAATCAGTGAGTTAACTGTCCTTCTATAAGGCTTCATGTATACTCTTCATAGTTCATGTGAAATATATCCGGGGCAAATGAAAACAGGACAAGAACTAAAAAAAAAAAGCTTATCTTTTTTTATAACCTTGGTTTTAACCTAACTAAAAGCACCATCTATGAATTAGAAAAAAATAGAGTACTGCAGCATAGCATAACCATAGTTAATTTGTGTGGGAAACACAATAACATTAACAAGTAAATGAACACCACCATGGCCTGGATACACAGCAGAGAATGGTAAATGGTCTCATACTTGTAGAGCACTTTTCTATGCAATGAAGCACACTGAAAGCACTTTACACTATTTCCTAGAGATGTGCAGATTGATTGGCAGATGGCAAATGGCCAGATTTCAGCATGATCGACCTTGACCTGTGACCGAGCGATCATTCTGAGATTTCTGATTCTGTGGCCATCAAATTTAGAAGCATGACATTCCATGTCCAAAAGTGTAGGGTGTGCACCACGTAGCATCTCACATGCACCTCAAGACTCACCCTCATGTCTATATGGGGCGCATGTTCACTTGTACATTGGAAGCGCTTGGTGTACAAAAAGCACACAAAGGAGCTTGCAGAAACAACTTGGAAAAGGGGAAACTACATTCAAACCTCAGACAAATAGTACACAATGAGGGAATTACCAGCTACACATGAAATGCATGTATATGTACAGTGTATCCAACCTGTGGTAAAACACGGCATATACTAACTACACACACACACTTCAAAAAGAACTAGTGCTCAGTAGTAACAGACAATCTTCTGTTTCTGTTACCTGTTGCACCTGTTTAGGTTAGTGGCTTAAAAGAGTAAGAGAAAGACAGAAAAAAAAAAAAAAAAAAAAAAAAAAAAAAAAAAAAAAAAAAAAAAAAAAAAAAAAAAAAAAAAAAAAGGAAACAGGAAATGGAATCCCATTCACACAAACAAGCAACACAACACACACACACACGGCACAGCCACCAAGAGTAAACGGGGTTCAGTGTCTTGCCCAAGCCCACATCGACATATGGACTAGAGAAGCCAGGATTCAAACCACCAACCCTCCGGTTAGGAGACAACCCACTCTACCCCCTGAACCACAGCGGACCCAAATTTTTAATATTTTATGGCTGAATGGATCAAGGCAAGTTAGCAATATAAAAATCTGAAAAAATTAGGAGTAATCTTGGATACCTTCTCTTGGCGGTGGCGCTGCCATCCTGTTCAGCCCTCCTCCAGAGGTAGACCAGCAACCTGTGTTTAAGGGAGTTGATAGTTTTATCAGTGTACAGGCGAGGGAAGCCGGGCTGGCTCTCAGCCTGAGCCTCCGTATAAACAGCCGAAAGAGTCAGGAGGTCATCCTCATAACAGAACCGCCCAATAGTCCGTACGTCCAAAAACATTCCCTCTGGAGTCACCTGGTTGGAAAGGAGAGAGAAAAAAAGATTAGGGAAGACAAAAACTGTTCTTTCAACAGCAGCAGATGCCAACAGGTCACATTTTCACCCACTACATGATTTCATCTAGATTGACATTTTAAATCTACATGAAATCACGTTCTGCTCACCTGAAACACATGTATAGTCTGCTGCTGGACCGACAGCACAGCCAGGATGTTCCTGTAGAGGTAGAGGCCCTGGTTGTGGGACAGGATAATCTTATCACACTTAAAGGCCCTGGTGTCACACAGCTTTCCGGTGTGGAGGTCAATGATATGGAGGGAGTAGTCTTCTAGAGGAGAACGGGGATTAGGTGTCACAGACTCGTTGTTACGATACACCTGGTGGGAAACACAATATGGACCAAAGAAGCAGTTTGAGCCAAACTATAAAGGTAAATTTGTGACTTCCTTGTAAGTGTGTAGTAAGTTTAATGGTGTTGTTACCTCAAAAAAGTAAGGTGGCGGCTCCTCGGGAACGTACACAGCCGACCCAACAATGACATAGCGGCAGTCATCTGTGAAGAGGCTACACTCCCGATTGAGGTGTTCTCCATTTGAGGCCACATTAGTGACATAGAGCAAGGAGAAAAAGCGATCAAACAGGTGGCCTCGGATGTTGAGAGAGCGCTGATCACTGGCTGTAAGTAGAGTCTCTCCCTCTTGGTCTCTCAGCAGGTCCTGAGCTGCCTGGCAGCCTTGGTATTCATATATCTGGAAAAGGTACACTTCAACAGTTATTCCTTCATCTTTCTGTCTCAGGTAAAATGGATAGTTAGATGAACCAAACCTGTTCCAGTCTGGGCCACATAATTTTGACAGCTTGGAGATAATCATGTGAATCCAATGTTTTTTGTGGGGTAGGGGGGTGTCTCTCCTCTTACCTCCAGAGACGTCTGGTCAGAAGAGAAGGCAATAAAGCAGCGTCCATCTGGTGAGAACTTTCTAAGAAAGCATGGGGGCTTTTCCACGTTGACCACAGTGAAGTTGGGGAACAAGTTCTGGTGGAAGCAGCGTACTCTGTACCAGTGAGCTCCCGGTCGACCTGAGCAGATTCTGCGCCACTCTAGACGATGAACTACGTTTTGATTCTGGATTCGCCTCGGCTTCAGTGTTGGCGTGTCATCATCCATCATTGTGATTAAAAAACAAACCGTTCCTGAGCAGGTAGACAGACAGGCAGTGAGTATGGTGAAACGACTACATCACGTTGTGAGAGTGAGCAGCACCAAGTTCCTGGAGGTGCACATCTCTGAGGAACTCTCCTGGACCAACACCACCACATCACTGGCCACGAGGGCTCAAACACACCTCTACTTCCTCCACAAACTGAGGAGAGTCAGTGTCCCAACCTCCATCATGCGTTCTTTCTACCAGGGCACCATTGAGAGCATCATCACCGGCTGCATCACTGTGTGGTACGGAGGCTGTACTGCCTCCTGCAGAAGGACCCTGCAGCGCATAGTGAATACACCCAACAAGATTATAGGCGCCCCTCTGCCTTCCCTCACGGACATTTTTAACACCCACCTCACCCGCAGAGCCATCAGCATTACTGATGACACCTCCCACCCCGCACACTCTCACTTCAGACTCATGCCTTCAAGGAAAAGGTGTTGGAGTCTTCAGGCCCACTCCACCAGACTTACAAACAGCTTCATCCATCAGGCTGTGAGGATGCTGAATGCTGTCCATTACCTCCCCCCCCCTCTGACCCTGGACTGTGACCCACCACAGAACATAAAAAGACTACCTCTGCTGTTTTGCACAAACCCAGTACATTTCCCTTTCTGGTTATATTACATGTAAATCTGCTGCCTACTGTTTTTACCATCATATCTGCTGCTGTTGGTCATTGGCACTACTGTCCATGTGCATCTCAATCTCACAACCATCTGACAATCTTCTTGTTATTATTTGCACTACTGTCACTGATTGTACATGGCTTGAGTCATAACCTATTAGGTTGTACCGTTTAGTTTTATCCTAATCACTTTGATTTAGTTTTCTTATTCTTTTTAGTCTATTTTAGTTTCCTAAATGGTATGGCATTCAATACCAGGTGAGAGAAACAGTATTTCAGTTTTCTGTATGTCCTGCACGTATCGACAATAAAAATCTTTGATCTTGATCTTGATCACACACACAGCCCTACTGCCTGTGTTCACAGGGGGAAGACGGTAGGGATGAAACAAATGAATGGTCTTAATGACTGTCAAATGTTGCATGTTGATCTGATGCTGAGTCCACATGAATTAGCCAACTGCAAGACAATTAATGATCTCCATGTTTAAATTTTATTTAAAATGTGAACCATTAAACAAATGACAAGGGACTATCAAGAAAATAACTGTATGCTGAATGTTCATGCATGAGGTAAAGAAGAGTTAGGAGGCAAGTACTGAACAGGAAAATATACAGTGTCATTTAATAAGTTATCTGAAGTTACCGATTTAACCCTATAAAACTATTTGTATCATATTTGATACGTGAGGTTTCTGAGGAAAAAAAATCGCCAAAAATGCCCCATGTATCAAATGTGATACAAAAGAAATAGAAATAATCTAAATAACAGCAATATGTTCCTTGGTAGTAGCTTTGTTAAGTACTCTTAGAACCACACGCGTGCGCACACGTTTTATATGAGCAAGAGACAAATTATACAGACGGAGTAACGTGATGTTAACCTGTTTGTGTAAAAAAGCAAACAGCATCATGACTCTTTGAACATGTATGATGAGACAGAGTAACACCAACGACACAACATTAACAGAGAGCAGAGACAAGGGGGTCCTTTTTCCTGTCCCGTCCCGATATCCGAGTCTGAATTTGATTTTTAATCCAGTGATTAGATCCGGGTCTAAAAACTCCCTATAAGCCTTCTCGACTATGAAAAGAAGATGTTTATTTATATCACCAGATACAATAAGCTGATACTCACTCGTTGCTTTTAAAAGGCAACTATCGGGAAGCTTTCTGGTTCCTTCAGGCTCAGCTGTTTGTGTTAGCACCACTGAAGTTCGGCTACCGAGATCGACACCACTTAGCTACCGGCCGTTAGCTTGTAGCGTTCGTTTGTTGACAACGTCCATATCCATTTATTTACCGGAGCACAGAAGTAACTGTAATCTGTCACATTGCTAGAAATATTCGACCGTCTTGGTTGAGTTCAGTAGCTACTACGTTCGTTGTGAATGACGGCGTAATGACATTACAGCTAAAAACAAGGGTCTAGCGTTGGTCTGCGTAATATTTATCCCCCCCCGAAACTCTGGGGGCGCTGTAATGGACGACGACACCTTTAGCTAAACAGTGCTAACGTTGCTGTCAGCACATCACTACGTTTTACAGATTCAAACTGCGTTTTAAGAATGTCGGTAGCTATATGTGCATAGTTATATTTCAACGGACAACATCCTTGTCTGGTCTCTGTATGCGTTTTTAGTTCGTGGTCAAAACAGAGGACATCCTTGCAGCGCACCACATACACACAAATAAGTGCAGAAAAAGACAGCCCTGCACTGTGGGCATTCGTTTTAAACAGCGCCATCACCTCCTTTTCAGGTGAAAATGGAAACCTGCAAAAATTGTACCAAATACAGTATATTCATTTAAGATACCGGCAGCTGAAAAGGCTACAAAAATCACACAGCTACAGTAAAGTGCAACGTTCGCCACGACTGAATTGGCTTGTCATACAGCGCTTATTGAGGTAAATTAAAGTATGCATTTTGATTACACACTGGGAGCAACAGGTTGTCTGTCTGGTTTTTGAATCAACAATTTTTGACACTGGTGTAAAATGCACCAATAAAATAAATGTTTGTGATATTGCAGTTATTCTACATGGATTTCTAACCAGTGTGTTGTACACACAAGTTCACCAATGTATATGCTATAAATGCATTTCTGAGCGTCCCATTGTACAATTTTACTGAATACAGTTTTAAGTAGGTAATTGCAGTAGACAACACTTTCAGGAAACCCTTATAGTGGCCACACAGGAGCCAAATGTACACCTGCTGATTTTACTTAAGTGCCAATTTTCTGATCAGTAGGTGGGTTTGCAGGTGAGAAGCACAAGTGCTCTGGCAAACTTTGAACATGATTATAATTGCTTTAACTAAATTGGCTGGGAAAAACAACAGACCTTTGGTCCCTGTCCCTACATGGTATGTAACTGTCTTGTTTAGTATATTTCATCTAATTGATTTGTTTATAACAGCATGTAGCACAAGTGAACCCAAGGTGACCTGTGTTATGCTCCCCATTATGACAGATAATTAAATTATGATTATCTTGTGTCTTATGAAGCATGTTCTTTCAGATTGAGAACAGCATTGAAGAGAGAAAAAGAAAAATGCTTGCAGTGCATTGGTCTTGGAAGACTGCTAATGGTTCTTTGTGCAATTATCCCTGACCAAAGAGTCTCATTTAAATGTTGTAATTTTCTATAAAAGCACATGTAGTGGGCATGAAAGGCCAGAAAAAAAGGAAAATGAAGAAATGAATGGAGGAAAGGATGTGAAATTATCCACTTTAAAATTTAATGGCATTTTCCTTTTCAGCTATGTCTGATTAAACCTGTGCTTCAAGATGTTGTTGTGTGTGTGTGCGTGTGTGTGCATGAGTACAATTGTGTGAGCAGTGCCTGTGTTCTTGTGTCAAGCCTGTGCCTCCAAATTGTGTGTGTGTGTGTGTGTGTGTGTATGTGCATCTATAAGTGTTTTTGTGCCACAACAATAACCCACACAGGAGTAATTCCGAATCAAAACTGTATACTGTCCTCTGGGTGTTCTTCTGTTATTTTCCCTCCAATAAACTGCTCATGACACAGGGCCCTCGCCTCAGCTTTTAGCATCAGCACATGAAGTAGACAAGAGATGGAGGCTGTACATCTGAGTGTTTTTATACTCTTTTTTAGTCTCTCTGCCAGAAGACACAGTGCTTATTCAAGATCATTTTTATCCATCTGGGCTTTTTCCAGGCAAAAGTGGACAGTGTCCATTCTTCCTGCTCTTGTTTTCATTGCTTTCTCCAGGTGAATTGGCACTGAATTTTTTTTTCTTAATTACATGCTCTTGCACTGTCACCCAACCCCAAAACAGAGAAACCTAAAAACTTTAAATTATGCTCTTTTCAGCAGTCAGGGGAAATAAGGGATGGTAAAGAAATGCAACCTGTGCAAGCAAGTCTTATGTACAATGCTTCAAAAGTATAAGAGCAAAAGAGAAAGAGCAGGGCTCTTGAACACCCTCTTTTGGAACAGTAAATAATGGAGCTGAACCGATTGCGGCATCTGCAGTTATCGTCATTATAACAAACAGAAATTTCTAAAAGACCATTTGCAATAAAGGACATTTGGATGAAAAGTATAGAAAAATCCACTGACTTGATATAACTCCTATATAAAAGGCACTTAGAAAAGGTTAGTCAAAGCATGGGGCGCAAATAGAAATACATTGTTTTACCATTTCCTCCATCTTTTTACCCAGACAGTTGTGTTTGGCATTTAACTAAAGCTTTTAACTTTTCGATCCAGCCTAATTTCAGAGCACAATAGAACATTTTAACACTGTAACTTTTCAGTCCTTATGCAGCTGAACTTTTCGTGTCTTTTGTGACAGTGGATGATTTCTGCTTTTTTTTCTGAGAAATTACAGTGATCACAAGTGCATTATGGCAGTCCGTTTTTGCTGCTGTCTCTTCAGAACCGCAAACTGTGTACTGCTGGACTGTGTGTGTGAGAGAGAGAGAGAGAGAGAGAGAGATGGTGAGATGGGGAGAGATGGGTTGAGAGGAAGAAGGAGCTTTGTCTGTCTCTTGCACTGATGGGTTAACCAAACTGATAAAGAACAGAGGGGATCGAGGGCCCTCAATCAGAGCCTCTTGATGTTCATGTTGGTTTCAGTTTGCCTCAAGGCACTTTATTCCTTGTTACGGAGTCAAAAGTTTACGGATTTGTGCCAAGAAATAGTTCTAAATCTTCGTCTTGCACTTTAAAACATCTGACATGTGTCAGCCGCTGTGGTGGAAGAAATATTCAAATACATTTATTAAACTATTAAAACTGCTTCTTTGAACATGCCACTTAGGCATGTAATTATCAAAATAGAATTAAGTTTTACAACTAAAAGTACAATTGCCATGCAAGAGCTATACATATTAGGCTATATTATTATTACTGATATATTGATAAGTAAGTAGCAATTTACTGTTATCCCTGGTTGAAGTGTCACTTATTTTCACTAATTACATACAGTTGGGTAAGTACATTTATAGATATGCATTATGCTTCATAAGCTGATCATATGATTTGCATAAAACATTTAATCTGTAAAGTACTATATAATAAATAATGCAACCAGTAAAGGTGATAGAGTAAAATGTACAAATTTCTCCTCTGAATAGTACAATATAAAGTCATATACTAGAATTTGTATTTAATAACTTCATTTGTTATAGGTCCTCTTTCATATATTGCAGAATAAAGTCAGAAAAAAAATCCTGTACATGTTATTGTGAGTCGCTCTACCTTTTTCAAAAATAAAGATAGAGGCATCAGACAGCTCTTCCCTGGACCCTGTCAAACTGAATCAAATGGAATCTACAGGAATCACACTTATTGTCACATCACACTTTATATAAGTGTAGGCATGAAGAAAATAATTGAGTGAACAGCTGTGAATGAACAGGCCTGTCTTACTGTAAAAATAACTGTATTCATGTTAAAAATGCATGCTGTATAATAGACCTAAACTCTGCTGAATACAGTACAACATATATACTTTAGACAAAACAGATTATGCAAATAAATAAAAATACTCTGTACAATGCACATTTTACACACACAACTGAACAGTCACACTTCTGACTCAGTCAAATATATTCCAATACACACTGTCTCATAATATCCCTGTGATCTCTTGGTATGCAGTTTATGGAAAAATATTTAAGTACATATCATTAATGACTTGTTAACTGACATCAGCAGCATTTTATTTACACGTTACCAGACCTTTCTTATAAGATATGTACCCCCAGACAAGGCAGGAGAAGTGTGACAAAAGCATGAATAATAGACAGCTGCTATTACTTGCATATTTTATGAAAACTCTTTTTTTTTTTAATAAGCCCAACCACACAGATTACATTTCAATTAGATATGCACAAGAAAGCTTTATAGGTTAAATATACACACAGGCATAGTGCTGTTTGTCCCCATCCTTGTCATTTCAACATGAATAATGTGGTCAAGAAGAAGCTTTATTTTTTTTTTGTCATTGTAACATTGTGACAAGTACAATGAAATTTTGTTTGGAGTGTGGAATCCCTGGAGTGTCTTGCCCAAGAACACTTTGACATGTGGACTGCAGGTGCTGAGATTTGAACTGTCAACCTTCTGTTTGGGAGATGACTGCTCTACCCACTGCACCACTGCTGCGAGTTAGATGCGAGTTGCCAGGGGGAAAGGAAGGATAGTGAAGCTACATCAGTGTAACTGTGTGTGTTAGCACTTGCATGTGTGTTCACATACTTATGTAATGGGAAAATTTCAATTATCCATTCCTTTCACTTGATCATTGCAAATAACAGAAATTGCCATTTTACAATTACAGTTATATTTCAGGATTTTACTCAAACAGTTTTTAATCTGTGTTTCTATAACTATATAGTTCCAATTTCCCAGGCTTTAATATAGCAGTAATAAGAGCAGAGGCCATAGTATTTATGAGTGAATTTATATGTGTCTGAAACAGTTGCAGAACAGAGAAGAAGTATCAGACATTAGGAGAGTATTGATCATGAACAGGACATGGCCAATTCTCTCCACAGGGTCAAACTTTCCCTTCACTCAGGCTAGCAGCACAAGATGAGAAGTCAGGGACACAATTCTTTTGCCATTTTCACCAAAGGAAGAGCCTAAAAAGAGGTCATCTGAACTTGCCTCACTACTCTCTCATGTTCCCAATTCAGTCAGAGGTGAATGGCCTTGGTGGGGGACTGAGCGGCTGTACACATTACAGCCAAGTTTCAACAGCTAGAGCCAAAGCAGGCCTATAATTTCAGCCATTTGAGAGTGTGAGCTGAAAAGCAGAGTGATGGCCACTTTTCTGTTATTATTCCTTTGGCAGAGTGCTGGCTGAAGGAAACAACCATGCTTTAAGAACATGTCCATCAGTCGCTGGCAGGATTTGGAAATGGTATTTGTAAAAGTAAATCTGTCATGTTGCATCGTTTACTTTGAAGCAAGTGCAGTTGCACATGTTGTAGTATATAATATCACACCCTACATCTGTACAGCTGATGCTTAAATTAGGTCCATGACTGACAAACACCAGGTTGCCAGAACTTTTCTTCTTACTGAAGCTGCCATATGATAACTGTAATAAGGTATATATTTGCATATAATTAACACCATGTACTGTGATATGAAATTCAACACATTCATCTTGAAAGCCAAGCTG